CACCACCACCACCACCACCACCACCACCACCACCACCAACGCTGTCACTGTCACTACCTCTACCTCTACTTCTGCCTTTGCCTCTGCCTCCCTACTCGTCTCCCGCCTCCTTTTTCACCTCCACCCCCCCCCCTTCGCCTCCTCTCAACCAACCCTACCGCCTCTTCTACCTTCTCCTCTACTACCGGCGCCGTCACTCCCCTCCTCTTCTGCCTCTGGCGGCGCCACCGCTAACGCCACCACCTTCGCCTTCTCCACCTTCCATTTACCGCCTTCTGTACCCGCGCGCGTCGCCACCGCCTTCGACGCTTCATTATTCGATACGATACGTGCCGGAAATGCCCGGCGCTGCTGCCAATAATATCACGTTGCCGGGGGCCGCCGCTTATCCTCCGGTCCGCGTCCAGGGTCCGCACCGACAACTGTGATATTGACTGTGTGTTCTGCAATGGTCGTCCTAGAGTGCCCTTTCTGAGACAACCTGCCAATCCCCCATATGGAACGTCGTTTGCACAAATAGTAATATAAATAGAAGATTGGAGTTCGACGATTAAAATGGATCAGTGATGTAGTTAATTCAAATGCGTATCATATATTGAATAACATTAATATACAAGTATATTATGCGATTTTGATGGATTTTATTCAACTGAAAAGGCTACTTAATGTGTAAAGCCATGAAAGGTAAATGATCCAGATGTTGCAGTAGATAGAATGTGTTCCACATGATTTTGTAAGGAAATTGTATTTATTTCATTTATCGTCGAAACGAATAGTTTGCTAGTTTGCTGTTTTCTATTGAGTATAAACTGTGGGATATCTTTCAACTAAAAATTCTGTTGATTTTTTTTGTAATACCTATTTGTAAAAGGCACCACATAGAGCGCATTCATTTTTACGTGCTTATTTCTGTTGTCAATATATAGTATCCTTCAATAATCAAATGTTAATTGATTCAGTGTTGTCTCTTTGTATTCTAAAACAGTGTACAATTTCCCCAATAGATTGAAAAAGCACAGATAAACAATTTGTTAGTCTATTCTAGTAGAATTAATTTACAAAAAGCAGGAGACGTTTTTTACTGAAATAACATATATCCAAACATTTTCACAAATAGGGACTGAAACTGTTCAAAATATAAAGTAAATTATTAACTAATAATTGGATAAAAAGATAAAAATTAAAAATACAATATATTAACCCAATGGCAAAATTACAAACATGGTTTGGCCAAATAACTTCATTTTAATCTTAACTCTGGAACAAAATCAACAAATTCTTGCAAGAAAAAAGACTGAATATTTGTGTGTTATTAAAATAACGTTTTCTAATCCAGTCTGACAATTAACCATTGAATAATCAGTGAAGAAGAGAGTTACAAAGTATTGTATTAAATGATTAACAGAGAATATAATCCTGTTGTCTCAATATTGCTTTTTGCTGCCTTAAAGTATACTAAACATCAGAAGAATAATGGGGATTATATTGAAACTTGAACTACATTTTTACTAAAATTTAGATGTAAACTTTTTGTATTTTGCGACAATCAAGCCATATCAATCACATTTTCAGCAACACATTTATTCATAGGAGAATAGTCTACATATTGCACACAACGGTTGGCTTATTTTTTGCATGTTTTTGCATGGCGTTTTCATGTTGAAATTGGGCATTAATTCGTGATAGAAACCCAAATGTACACCTAAATTACGTGAAATCAATCATTTGTTATAAGCAAATCAAGACAAATATGCACGAAATATCGAGCGACATCAGGACGTGACCTGCCAAATAGCAGTGAATAATAAGTTGCCTACCAATTAGGGAAAGAGACACATGTGTAAGTTCTTTGTATTAAATTTTCCACTCCATATTCATTGGCAAAATGTGATCATCATCGAAGATCTAGAAGATTGAAATATTGACATTACGAACTGTTCCTTAGTTTATTTCCAAACTAAGGGAACTGCAAACAACACTGTCCTTTTTTATTCACCTACACTATGAATTTTGACGTACATGACGAAAACAATGCCATCTGTATAAACAGGAAACCCAATATTATGTGAAAAATTGGCAATTTGAAATCAGGGCATGGGCGTGATATGGTAACTAGAGCTAAACTAGAAACATAGTGCCATTTTCAAAATCAGTGATCCCGAATTGGTCAAAATAAGCTGCAACCATTTCCATAACATTCTGTATTTTCAACAGTGCTATCGCTTATCTCTCCAGCATCGTGAAGTGCAAAAAAGAAAATCAACAGATTTTATTCCGTTTTGAATTTACATTTGGGTGGAATAAATTCGCAATCAAATTTAATTTTTTGTGGTAAAAATGGGTGTCATATTTGAGGAAAAATTATTACACGGTATTCACAACACAAACATGTAAAATTGTAAATACTAAAGTATTTATTAATTATAAATGCTATTCGTTAAAGGTTTTCTGAACGATATTCATTTTCAGTGAAATTAGGCATATAATTTATAAAAATTAATCTGATTGCAGGTTTGGCAAGCAAAACTTTGGCGTCCTCTCTTTGATACTGACAATATTTTAATAACTTAAACCTCATAAATGTATTTGCAATGCATATACTCTATTAGTTCACACTGATGACATTAATCTCTATGTGAATATTCTCCCATGGTTTAATCAAGTCAACCACTTGTTCAATTATTGCAGAGTGAATGTAAATTTAATTATTTTGATTGTTTTATTTTCGATAGTGTATAAGTAACCAAATCAATTAGGTCTTCTGTAAGCAAATTGTCCGTGGTTATTGAAATACACCGATCTCGATTTCATTTTCAATTCATTAATTCATTGTGCGTTGTTCAGATTAAATTGCTTTTATTACTGCGATGCATGTCAATATGAAATATTTTTTAAAAACATTAAAATCAGCATATTTCACTAGTTTATATGGGAAAATTATTGTGGACTGTGATCAAAAGAAAACTATTTTTAAATGAGGATGTTTTTCTAATAAACATTCAAATGAATATTTAGTTCAATTATTAATATTTCTTCTTAATATCTACGAAATAATTTGTATAAGAAGAAGAACGAAGAAGAGAATAAGAATTGTATAAGAATTTTGGTCCATCCACTAAATCTAAATGGGTACGTACTGATTGTCATCTGTTTTAGTCAATAAAGAAATTCAGTGCAGTTGAAAAGGAAAGAGAGGTGTACAATTATAGAGTTTTGAAGAATGTGAAGTAGCCGGACAAAAACATCGTACTTCACCTAGAGAAAAATGAAAATTAAAAATTGTCTTATCTTATTTCAAGTCTCTCATGCTTTACAATTTTTATGATTTTTTAGCAATTCGAGACGTTAATTTATAGTTATAATGAGTCCTAATGAAATGTATCTGGTTACACATATTTACAATTTTTGTTGTTTTTATTTTATGTATGACTTTCACTACGTCCTATCTTGAGCCAGTCTGGTCTGGCAGAATTCGCATCTCCTCCGTTGAAAAATACCGTCGGCTGCTAGGCCAGTGTGTTAGTGCGTGTGTGTTTCGTTTGTGTGTGCGTGTTAGTGGGTTTTTATACAGGTGTCTCAGAATAGAAGGTAGAAACTCTATAGCAATAAGGAGGTCGAAAACAATTATGTTTTTTACTACAGAAGCTGTATTTGCTTCTCTTTCGAAGGCAATTTATCGTGCACTAGAGTTTTTGTCAGGTACACATTGAGTCATTACAACATGAAGAAGAATTGAGTTCTTCTTGCTCAATAAGATACTGTAATTTAGGTAATTTTACAGTATTGATAGAGTAATATTTTTCTTATTTATATTCCGAAATAATATATATTAATCCCATTTTAATATATTGTATTAGCATTTACTGAAGATAGTGTTTATTTCATTTAATAGATGAGATGGATAGGTAAATATATAAATAGATTTGACCTACTCAGGATTTAATATCCGGTGGTATATATCTGCTCAGAGGGAGATTGCGTTTATCAATGATTGTTTATTGGGAACAAAAACAAGTAGTGGTCCTGATCATATTTTCATTTCATTTTTTATTATTAATTTTCAATTAAATGCTTTTCAAGGTCGATTGCTCGCAATTATTGATCTATTATAAATATTTATTTATTTTAAGCAACTTTAAGAGAAAACTTTCCACGTATCTCAATTTTTTTCTCGTCATCAATTGAAAACAATGTTGAATAACGCAATACGTTAGTACTGATATGTAATAAATCCAAATGAACGAAAGTACGTGTTCCCACGCCGCTCTCTTCTGTGCAGTAACGTTATTCTCTTATGCGAGCATTGTATTACCAAGCAGACAATAAGCAATGTCACAAGAAACATTTCCAGCTAACAAGCACTGAACGTTAACTTAGAAATATTTTCTCATCTATCTTTATGTAGAAAGAAGTGCAGTTCAAACATGTTAACCCATACGGTGAGTCACAGCAGGGCAGATGGAGTCACGGACAAAGAGGACAAGAAACGTAGATACAACCATGCATCGTTCCTGACCCGCATTACCGTTAAAGACAAAGTTGTAATCCTTGACCAGTGTGGAGTATCTGACCGTGAATTTTCAACATCCAGTCGAGATATCCATGTGCATTTCCAAGTGGAGAAGTTTGCTCACGTCCTTCCTAACATCGGTTTCTTCATTCGTGCGATCTCATACGAATAGGCTCCAGTTGAATGGAAGTGGAAAGGAACGTCCTCGTCGCGTACTTATTGGGACTGACCTTGCAACTTTCCTGACAGAGCTTGCCGTACGTGAATACGCTTAAATATTCTCAAGAATTTAGCATGATTTAGTAACGAAAATCAATCAAAGTACTTTCCCACACCCTGAAAATAAAGAAAGCGTGTAATACGAACACTCAATTACTTAGAAAGTATGCGTATTCAGTTACATAATTTCCTCAGGTCAATTTTGTCCGCCTTTTTTGCTCACTAAATTCCACAGAGTCTTTCATCCATTGAAGTTGAACAACCATCGAAAATGAAGTAATTTGTTGAACACAGTATTTTACTTCAGTCAAAGCGAAGCCTCGAGAGGTTGTACGTAAAGCCTCCAAGGCTTGAGTGTTTCAAATAACCATCATTACATCAATAAAATATACCTAAATCTTTTACTTCATGTATGTTAGAATACATTGCCTAAATCTGATATAAAACATATATTATATTGTAAGCTCTTTAGAAGTGTAAACATCAACTAGGTCTGACATTAGCATTAGACCAAGATGTAGTAGCGCGTATGCGTGTCCTAAATTGACATTTCGAAATTATTTTCGTATTTAAAACTTAGAAAAAGTCTCCTTGTCTACTTGTCTTACAGATATTTACCGCTGATTACATCCAAAGACAAACCATATTCGTATTCTCCTTCTATTGTAATTTTGTTCAATTTACGACTTATCTCACGTTCAATCGCACATCTCACAGATACGCTTGCACAATATTGCACGCTTGCATATTCACAAGTGGGCATTTCTGTACCTCTTCCATCAGCAAGGGAATCACGTCGTGCAACTTAACGCTCATTGAGGGCGGTGGCTCTGTTAGCCAGAGATTTTGCACCCACCCACGGGCGCTGTGAGGGCGAGGACCGGGGCTGACGGGCTTCGTTGTCCATCACCGCCCGCCACGACCATCGCCGCTAATTACTCGCAGCGAGACTGGGGCGTTCCCCTCCGCGCTGGGCCTCCCCGCCCTGCGCCAGCTACCGAGCACCACTCACTCAGACGATCTGATGCCGTTCAGTGTGCTACGCCCTACCCGCCACTTCGCGCCCCGCGTCAAGCTCTACCCTGCCCTGCTCTGCCCTCACGTCACACGCCACCACATGCCGCCACCTCCCATCCACTCTCGTCACCTCTCGACATCTCTCGCTATCTCTCGCCATCTCTCGCCATCTCTCCCATTTCCATCTCGCCATCTCCCGTCTCATCCTCCGCCATCTCTCGCCATCTTCTCGCCAACTCTCGCCATCTCTCCGCCAAAACCTCTCGCCAACTCTCGCCAACTCTTCGCCAAACTCTCGCCCAAACTCTCGCCATCTCTTCGCCCATTCTCTCGCCATTCTTCTCGCCATCTCTCGCCATCTCTCGCCATCTCTCGTCACCTCGCACCATCTCTCTCGCCATCTCTCGCTATCTCTCGCCATTCTCGCGCATCTCTCGCCATCTCTCGCCATCTCTCGCCATCTCTCGCCATCTCTCGCCATCTCTCGCCAACTCTCGCCGCATCCTCTCGCCATCTCTCGCCATCTCTCGCCATCTCTCCGCCCATCTCTCGCCAACCTCTCGCCAACTCTCGCCAACTCTGGCCAACTCTCGCCAACTCTCGCCAACTCTCGCCAACTCTCGCCAACTCTCGCCAACTCTCGCCAATTCTCGGCCAACTCTCGCCAACTCTCGCCCAACTCTCGCCACTCTCGCCATCTCTCGCCATCTCTCCATCTTCGCCAATCTCTCGCCATCTTCTCGCCATCTCTCGCCATCTCCTCCGCCATCTCTTCTCGTCGCCATCTTCTCGCCATCTCCTCTCTCCATCTTCTCGCCAATCTCTCGCCAGTCTCTCGGCCATCTCTCAGCGCATCTCTCGCCATCTCTCGCCATCTCTTGCCATCTCTCGCCATCTCTAGCTCCTCTCGTCACCTTTCTTTTTCTTCTTCAGAATTACACTACTGCATCAGAAGATATTTCAAATATGTTGATTTCATATTTTATATATCTACGATTTATGTAATGGTTTATACAGGGTATACATGCAAAAAGCTTAAGACCTGTTTATGTGTAAAGACACTGTGTATTTCCAATAGGATGCAGTCGAAATCCAAGGCGTAGATTACAACAAATTTCTGTTAGTATGTTTCATTATCTGAAATCATTCATTGGTGTATAATACATTCATTTACTTCTAACTTGACAAAGTAATTGTCTACTAATTCAAATGATCTGAGGGAATAAATAAAATAAAAAAAACTTTTGTTTTGTGTTTTGTTGTCTTAAAAAGGTTTTAACTCCTAAAATCCATTTTATTCAAAGTGAAAAACATGACCATTGATATATCTTTCTTATTTCCCATTTCTAACCGCATCGGTTCCATTTCTAACCGCGGCGGTTTTTTGCTGTCGAAATCTATTGGTTTATGTACTTTCGTTCCTTTTGGATTTGTGATTGATGAAAGATGGTATCAATGACAATGTGAAAAACGAGATGCTTGTCTGATACGTTTCTATCCCGACCAACACGCAACAGAATGTACCACACCCATTTTCTCTTCTCGTCACGTATTCTGTATCATCAATTCTACCGTGAGATAAAAAGAACTCACAAAGCAACATACGTCGAAATTCTCGGAGAGTGTTGTTCTGACATACGTAGGCTTTTACATATCACTTTTATTAAAATGAATAAAAAGCTAATGTTCAAAGTTGATTTCTTAATAAACATCGAGCATGAGAGAGAATAAGGAAGGTAAGGAATAATTCTGACGACTGAATAAGAGAATATCCATGTGGCAGTCAATTAACATATTTGTTTAAAGGAGCAGGGGTATGAATTCAATTGAACCATAACAAAATCCCAATCGGAATGTATGTGTTTGTGACATTATCGTTTAATTATGACAGTGAAATAAGCATTGATTATTTTTTTAAATAGTTGTGCATACACATTTAAATTAAAATTAACATACATTAACATTATTGGAAACGACGTTTCATTAAATAAATGTATTAACGATAGAGAAAATAAATAAATAAATTTATCCGTTAAATCCCACGTACATATAACGCAACACAGCTCACTTTCAGCTGGAATATACTTCAATGTCAGAAGCCACGCTCTAAGAAACTCCTCTGCAGTCTTCGTAACTACCGTATCCACGGCGTGGTACATCTTTCAGAAAATTAGTCCTAATAAAACTCGGCGAAAGCGAGTTCTCCCCGCTGCCACTGCGGGCAAAATATGAACGGAAAGGCATTATTTCACGGGCTTTCTGGGCGCGGGTCCCCGGCCGGGGCTGCGAGAGGCGAACTTCTTGAACCGCTACGCGCGAAACTGAGCAGTCGCGTTGCGCCGCGCCTTCTCCGCCCAATGTTCTCGCGCTCAAGTTGGACCGGAAACCGGAAGCAGAGTCCGCGAGCGCGCGGCGGAGGGAAGAGAGTGGCGCCGCGCGCGGGGCGCTTTGGAACTATGCCGAGCGACTTTGTCGAATAAGTCGAGCCATTCCAAAGCGCCGCAAGTCTCTCGCGGAAAATTAAAAAAAAAAAAAAAAAGGCAATCAGTTGACTGTGGAGTCACATGTGATTTAAATTGTATTTAATAATTATTTCTGGTTTGACGCTAGAACACAATAACAATCAGAATGTTTTTATACATTTTTGTTATTTAAGCGGAAACGTCTTGAATTTAAGCTGTCGCATAAAAGATAGGACAATGAAAACACGTAGTAACGAGTAAGCTTATGAAGTTATATTTGACCCTGAAGTTCTCAAAAATAAAAAAAAGTGGCTTCCTTTCTTTAGCAAGATTATAACCATATTAAAACGACTGACATGCAAGTAATTAATCGGTCATTGATCTTGCTTGTATTGCATTTTTTTAATGTAATCTTCAAACACATTCGATTATTTGGCAGCTAGTACTCATGGTAAATCAATCATTATTGCTTAATACTTCGACGCACATAAAATTGTAAGAAGGTTTACTCTCCAGACTAATTTAGAGTGGAATGACTTTAATGCCGCATTTATTTAAACCGTTTCTAATGTTGAGATGTCCCGCAAATTCACGTTAATATGAAGCTTTATTCTGTCCGAAGAATGTTGCATTGGATCAATTTAATTCTTTTAATGTATATCGATTTTGGTTATGGTACAATAATAGTATTGTACGCAAATTTGTTGTACAAACGTTAAAAGAAAAGGAGTATAGTCCACGTTCTCACAATTTATATTGATGAATGTTCCAATATGGATTAATGAAAGTATCTAAACGTTTCAATAAACGCCTAATTGACCATTAATAATGATAAGTGAAATTGTGTGGTAGTTAATTTCATTACTTTTTTGTTTTTTATCGACACTATAACTGGGAATACGAAATGTCATACTTAATAAGATTCAGTTTTGCATTAGTATAGATATGCTCATTTAATGTTGCATATTTAAATTTCGTATCTCTTCAAAAGGTACTAGATAGAAACATTTTAAGTGCTCCCCCATCATACAATATGTGAACTTTTCTTCTTCATTCAGAGTAAGTGGTGCAAAAACTACGAAACTTTAAAAAAATTAGATGGCATTGAAACAAAGAGCCAGATTATACTTTTTGCATACAAATATCTGACGACGAGAACAAATCTTTTACCGCTGTACTTTGAAGCTCGTCCAACTAAAGCGGCGGCGTTCGGGTCTAAAAGCGATTTTTGCCTCGGTCGCGCAGCCGGCGGAAAGTTGATGGCGCCGATCCGAGTGAGCGGTTGCGTTATTCATGGACCTAAATCGGCGCGCTGCTTTCCTTTACAACCGACAATTCAATGATCTCCGGGAAGAGTCAGAAATAAGCGAATTTCCATCGGACCTTGCCTGTGCCTCGCTCGCCGCGGTTCGCTACTCTGCTTTCGCCTCTCCGCGCCTCCGATGTGCGGGCTCGTAGACGTCATTGGCGAGTTCGTACCTCTCTCTTGCCCGACCCGGCTACCCACTCCCGCGTCTACATCATCTGTCAGCTACGCGAGCTGGCAGTCGTCATTGGCGAGTTCGTACCTCTCTCTTGCTCGCCCCGGCTCCCCGCGACTGCCACGTGTCCCCATCCCGCTCCTATCCCCGCCTCCAGGTCAAGCATCAATCCCCCGAAGCCCGGTTCCGCTCCCGCGCCTTCGGTTCTGCCTCATCCACTCCGCCCCGCCTCGCTTTGCACGGTTCCGCCTCAAAGCGTCCGGCCCGCTCGCTCCTCTTTCTGCCTCGATGTACACCTCGCGTTTTCAGCTCGTTTGTCCCGGTCAGTTTAGGGCTCGATGTCACCCACCTCGCATTTGCTTGTTCTATTGTCCTTCGCGGCCTCGCTTCGTTGCTCTCCATTTTCCAAAGATTCTATCCATTCAGGTTTGACACTGTTCTTTTCGCTTCACAATTTTCACACTTGCCCTCATATGGTCCTTCACATCTTGCAAGGCTCTAAAACCATTTCACCTTGCTCATTCTTCTTCCTCTCTCTCTACCGTTTCCAGCTCATGTAGTCCTGCGCGCTCTTGCTAGGCCCTAGCACCTTCTAACACTTGTTCTTCCTTCCTATTATCCGTCTACCTTTCAAGCGATGTCCTCCACTGATCCTTTTACTCCGTTCACTCTTCTTCTTTCTGTTCTGCTTTTCACATCTCTTCTCGTCTGCGTTTCACATCCCACCGTCCCTATTTCGACTCTCCGTCGCACTTTCTTTCATATACTTCTGCCCCACTTCATCTTCTCTCCGTTTCCTTACTCAAACATCGCATCACTTCACCGCGCGTCTTCCTGCTTCATCTGTTTGATTCGGCGCTCCCGAGTCCGAGTTGCGTTCACCCTATTCGCCAATCTCTCTGTTGGCCAGTTGCGCGCCTGTCCGTCGCTTTTTGTTCGCGGCCGCGCGCCACCCACGTCGCGCGGCTCTCGCGCGGGGTCTCTCCGCCCCGCCCACGCGCTATGAAACATTCATCAGGAGACCTGGCCTGCCAACTTCGCCAGTTCGTGTTACGAAAGACTACCAACTTTTCGACTTGACATGCAAGAAAAACGAATCGATCTATTCAATTGGGCTGATAGCAAACAAACACAACGATTAGTAATCCAGGTTGTTTTACATGAAATTGTTTCATAGGTCGAAAACGCTAAATCCTTTTGTCACTTTACTCAAGTCTTTAAAACGAATACAATGTGTCTATGGACAAATATGATAAACAAATACACTTTTGACACATGTTTTGTTTTGTATATTTATTGGCGAAAGCTTTACCTTGAGAGATGAGAAAGATTTATTTCGTTGTGAAGAGCAATTATCCATTTATAGACATGAAAAATTTAAATCTATATGAAAAATCTATTATATTAGTCCGTGAGATGACCTTGTTGTGACTGAATTGCCCCTTGTAGCGCAATACCCGAAACCACGACACTCGCTTAACCAACCTATTTAGTGGATGAATCACGTAGCGATAGTTCGGATCATCAGAAAAATAGAAAATATTCTGATGAGATCCGACAATCGCCATGTCATTCATCCACTAAATCAACAAATTGAGACATCGTTTTTTATGATAATGGTAAAATTAATATTCGATTTCTTTTGATGCTGTGTACGTTATATAATATGAATCTTTATGGAAGTTGTGTACCGCCCGGATGTCACAATTCCCCTTTCCTACAGAACAAAACGACACATTACGTGACTTGCGAGAAATAAAGTATAAGTGAAAGTTAATCGGATTTTCTTGGAGTTGCGATGTCATTTCCTACAGGAAACGTTTCATTTCTTGTAGCCATATACGGCGCTAATTGCACGCTCCTTGTCTGCAGGTACTGCGTCCAGTTTGAGGTGCTGAAGGCATCCAAGGCCTGCCGCAAGGAGACCGCCTACGCTTCGCTCAGAGAAGGTGAGTTTGCAGCTCCCGTTCACGTTCCTTCCTTTGAATACTGCGTCTTGTGCAGAGCGTGGGCGTCATTAGTACCTTTTGTTTCATTGGAAAGTGACGGTGCTGGAAGGGATTGTGAGAGTGTTAAATGCATTTAGAATCCACGAAATGATTTGTTGATTAGTGTTTCTGGGCTAACGTCATAGGTCCCGAAAGTGTAGCGCATGTTGCATTCCGGGAGGTGGCGGTGATCTTCGCCAGATTGATGGTGAGGTCCGGCGCCGATCTACACGTCGGCTCGCGGGTTTTCCAATACCAGATATCACCCACTAGCGAGGCACTGCAAGTTTGTTAGGTACCACCCCGCCTGATATTGATTAGAGAAACGACGGAAACCAACCGAATTGAGTAGCCGTCCACTAAAACTCTCCTCCAGGCAATGAAAGAATTCGACGTAGCAATGTATCTAGGGTCAAAAATCCTGCCACCTTAGGGACCCAAACCAGGCGCTGCATTCAATTGATGAGCCACCTAACCAGGTTCATGAATTAAGCACTTCATATGTATCAGAAATAGAACTGAATTTTTGTGGACGTCGTAAGTTGAATGTGTATACTTATGACCAAGACTTTTTTCGCCTATAATTCCTACCATTTTACTCTTACCTTGTAGTTCAAAGATATCCTTTGACCGTTCCTTCATTACATATGCTCGTAATCTATTTACTTTGTTCTTCGTGCTGCATTCACCATTGTGCCATCTCTGCCAGATCACTGAAGCTTTCAGCAAGCCTCTTCGCACGGCGGGACGCTTTATTTCTTGGCTCAGTTTTCATGAGATGGAAAGAAATTCATAGGATAAAAAAGGGGAATATGAGCGAGGTAGTAAAAGATGGAAAAGAACTTGTTAGTCTTCCCGCGTGGGCAGGTTCATTGAGCGTTGGGCAGCCTCCGTGAATACAGCGTCCTTCCCCCTCCTGCTCGTCGCTCTTTTCTTCTCCTTACCTCCGCCCTCGCCACGCAGCCGCGGACTTCGTGGCTCCGAGGAAGAAGGAAAAGTCCACGGCCGCTTTTATGCTCAAAAACTTTCTAATAATCCTTGTTTAGTTTGCTGAAGGTCGTTTCGGTAATTTTTCTCTCCGTTTGTCAAGCCGCTCGACCCCGGAGGCTGAAATATCTAAACAACTCCGTGTAATGGATTCATTTATTTCGCTTTTAGAGACGCGAAGGCGACCGCGTCGCCCCTCCCGTCACCACTCCCACCACCGCCGTCAGCGCTGCTGCGCTCTGCCGGTAACGCTGGGCGACGCTTTCATTAAACCGCCGCCATCTTTCTGTTCCGGAATCCATTCCGACTTTTTGATGGGCTTTAAAACTCCCGG